GATAGTTACACTTTTTTATTCTTGCAGCAAGAGGCAAGAAAGATGAACCCTCCTCAACCTCTTAACTCTTTCAGATATTCCCACTATCTCAATTTTCATTTTCCATTTCAATGTGTTTTTGTTTATTTATATATTTGAGATTCTTTATTTTGTGCTAAAGTTGATTCTTTTTAAAAGTGTTACACTAAATTTAATAAATCCTTAATATCAAAGCTTACGTACCTAAGAAAGCTATATATAAAGGACCCCCTATAGACCATTCACTACATCAAACACACCAACTCAAAGCTTTACCCAAAAGTCTCACAATACACTCTCATTTCAATCAATAAACACAACCATTTTCATCCTCTGCAAGTCGCTTTCCAAAACACTCTTTCACATTACAACACAAATGGAGAAGCTACAAAAGATGGTATCCGAGAAGTCGGTAGTGATCTTTAGCAAGAACTCTTGCTGCATGTCTCACACAATCAAGACTCTCTTCATTGACTTTGGTGTGAACCCGACAATCTATGAGCTAGACGAGATCAACAGAGGAAAGGAGATAGAGCAAGCATTGGCTCAGATTGGCTGCAGCCCAACAGTGCCAGTGGTGTTCATAGGTGGACAGCTCGTAGGTGGAGCTAATCAAGTCATGAGTCTTCATCTCAATCGCTCTCTCGTTCCAATGCTTAAGCGCGCTGGGGCGTTATGGCTTTGACGTCAATATAAAGGGGATTGCATATGAATTATGTTATGGTGATACTAATTAACGTGAACAAAACAAAAATATACACATGAATATGTAATGAGTTATTGCTGTCTATCTAAGTTTTGAAAAGATAGATTATGCGGGTACCTATTTTGTAAACTTTGGGTATATAAATATATTACTATATTATAATAAAGTCTACTATTGATTTCTCCTTATCCCATGTTTATATTTATATAGTTGTATACATGCAGGTCTATATAAAAAATTTACACGTGCGCACTGAAAATAAGTACTCTAATAAACAATTGAAATGACTAGAATTGAAATTATTATGGTGTACTACTTTTTATGGTGTAAAAGAAATGACTAGAATTGAAATTATTATTTAGGCATAACATGCTCTAATAAACAATTAATTAAATATTGGAAATGAAATACTCTATCTGTACAAAAAAAAAGTAAAAAATTATAGTAATCGAAGTGGTTCGTACTAGTGATTTCACATAATCGACATCTTTCAATACGTATAACTTTATTAATTCTCACATGCACTAGTATGCACTGTTACTTTTTTACTTTTTATTTACTGGCGTGGTTGTTAAATAACTAGTTACAACTTACAACTTACAAGTGAAAATTTGATGCAATGTAAGTTTCTGCTATATAACCAGTTAAATGAAATCATTGAATAGGAAAAACAAACCCACATTAAATTCTTCACTATCCATCTACAAATATATGTGGAAGTGATTGTTCAACCTCATGATCAAAAATGACGTTTCTAACCATTAAGAAACCAAGGTGTGTAAAGAATTGGATTCTCTCCCATTTACGGAACATCGTTGCATTGTTACATATTCCATGTTATAGGACGGTACGGGCAAGTTGCGGATGTAGATGTGTTTTAGCATATTGCGTACATATTATCTGTCGGTACGTGAATCACGTACATTGAAAATGATGATAACCTTGTGTTGTGATATAAGAATAACGGCTCTTGAGATCAAATTCGGGCCACCATTAATCTTTTTAAGAAGAAAAAGCAGAACTCTGACTTTAAGTTTTTTTCTTTTTTGTTTTGTTTGAGATGCCACGTGGTTGCTTCAAGTTCACTATCAAATCCATCTTCTTGGCCATGAGCTTGACTTGTCATAAATCTTATTCGTCGAATTGGGAATAAAGCTCAATTTTGTTTGTTTCTTGACATCGTAGTGATTCGATTCCATGCATATAAGGCTAAAACGGAACCACAGAACTTGCCCTTTTTCTCTCAAGTGGTCATACGAATTAAAATGTAATTCCAATATTACCACACGTTCTCGAGTTTTCGCAGATATTGAAGAAGTAAATATGCTGGAAACTTTGGATGGCGTATCTAAAACTATGTCAAAGGGGTTGACACCAGGCTTAACCGGCAATCATATGATTTTACAATTTTCAACAACTTAATAAGAGAAAATTTATTACGAAAAAAAAAAATGTAACGACGCTTGAAATAAAAGAACGAGAGAAAAAGAGACAAGGCTAAACAGCTTTAACCGCAGCCATATTTTTAGCCTCTGATTATGGTATACTGATTAGTTCAACAATCTCCTAACAACTCGGAACAGCAAATATAGCCTGTGGAGAAGATCAAACAAGACAAGACATGTAGCATAATAAACTCTCTAACAAAGTAAAAGCTAATCTTGAAAACACTATCATTGTTCATTTTTGGCAATGGTCTTTTACTTCTTTGGATACCCCATCTTCTCTCCATAATATATTTGGATGAACAATAACTGTCTCCTCCCTATGAAGTCGACCAAATTCTTTTTCTCCCAACCTATTTTGTATTATCCAATAATACCTTCCACGATCATCCACTCCAAGACTCAAAGATGAGAATGGCATGGTATGTTGGTTGTGTATATTCTGATTTGGGTGGATGATAAATACTATGTCTGGCAAACATTAATCAAAGACATTAACCTTGGATAGTATAAATAGTTCAAAGAATTGCAGTTAAATGCACTTACTTGTCTATCGGAACTTCAATTGGACTGCAATGACACAACTCCAACCACCGGATGCTTCCACACTAGCCTTGCAAGTTTGACATCATCAACGTTATCAATGACAACGAAACAGTCAATCTTTTCGGTATTTGGCTTAAAAAAAGGTTTTTGATATCCGACAAGGTAGAAACAAATGAATATCACAAAACATGAAGTTTTTCTGTTTTAAAAATATAGAGAAAACAATACTATTTTCCTTAATATAGTTCATCTCCCAAAAATGATAGACTAGTAAACCTAAGAAAAATCAAACTTATGTAGCTATGTATCATATACAAACAACATTAAATTAAGATTCATAAAGCATCAAATCTTACAATTTTATGTACACACATTTGTTTGGTACGTGTGTAAGAATACTCGCCTTCCTCAAATATACCATGTTCCACAACAAAGTTTCCAAGAGTGTTGATATCTTCCAATCCATATTCCTGGGTTTTATGTTGTTGATTAGTTGTTGAATCGAAAATTAGCGAGAAATCATGTGGAATACAAAGTCAATGGACTATTTGATACTATAGTTGCTGACAACAAAGCACAAAATATGCACACATAAGACATAAGCGATGATATTGATCCATAACTGTTTACTTATACTTATACATGATGCAACAACCAATGTGAGTTTCTTTTGGTTGTGGTCGAAAACATTATAGTCATTTAAGTAAACGTAACGTTCGAATTTGAATTTATTTATTGATTTGATTTTAATGTAACATACAAAGCTTACAATTACTGTTAGCTATATTGAAGAAAGATCGAGCATTAAATGGAGCAGAATGTTCATATACTCGTAGCTTGAGTACTTGTGAACATGATGAAAATGTAAGTTGATCAACTAAATACGTCTTTATATAAATTTGGTTTGATTTTCACTAACCATGTATTATTCTTGAAAACTGTACGTAGAGAGAATAAGAATATATAGCATCGTTGACATATCTCAATTGATGATGTTGAGCTTCTTGAATTCGTAAGAAGACAACCAATCATTGGACATCTACAATTGTGCACTCCACTGCTAGAACATAGACACACATTTGAATATAATTTATTTCTTGATTTAACAAATGAGCACTCCATTACTAAGTTTCTGTTTAAAAAAAAAATTGATTGTAGGGAATCTACAAAGGTTTTAAGCATGACTAGGTTGGTACCCGCGCTCTGCCACGGGATTATTTATATTTTTTTTTGTATTTTTTGTTTTTTATTTGATTTTGAAAATAATTTACATTATTTTTTAATTTTTTTATTTGATTTTGAAAATAATTTACATCAATTTTTTTTTTGGATAAGTCTCTATACATCAATTTGTATGATACATATAATATAAATCGAAATTTTTGATTACTGAAGAGTTTTTATTACTTCAAAAAAAATTTATTACCCAAAAACTTTTGATTACTCGAGATCTTTTGATTACTTGAGATCTTTTGATCACCAGAAATTTTTTGATTACCTAAGAGCTTTTGATTACCAGAAAACTTTTAATTACTAGAAAGCTTTTGATTACTCTATTTTAGATTATCCAGAATTTTTTGACTATCTGAAAGCGTTTAATTATCCAGAAACTTTTAATTATCAAATTTTGTTTGATTAATCTTTTCATTACCTAACTTTTAATTACCCGAAAGGTTTTATTTACCCAAAACTTTTGAGTATCCAAAATTTGTTCGCGAAAAAACTATTTCCCGATTTGGAAACATTTGAGTTTAGATAAGGTTGAAGGAGATTAATACTTTTTTACTGTTTCACTCAAATCCAAACATAGAAACTTCAATATCATCACCGCTATGAATAAACAATGATCCCAATGTAGGTTTTGTTTTACTCTTATTCATCTACTTTCTTTTTCTTCTTCCTTGCTTCCCTCTCTTTCTTATTAATTGCTTCAGCAATCAACTTTCTTCCTTTTTTGTTTTTTCTCTTCCGCGAAAGACAAATATATGCATCTTCTTCATCAAATTTTGGCATCCGATTCTCTATGTTTGTGACGTAGTCCACCAGGCTATTTGTGGAGATTAGAATCGCCAAGGGAAACTTTATTAAGATAATCAGATAATAAAGGTTTCGAACCAATACGTTGCTAAATAATATTGTTACATTGTTCTAGAATTTGTTATTCTATGTACTCTTCTCAACCTTTTCCTTGATAATTATCCCGTCGATGATCTTCTGTCCTTGTGTTGTTGACCAAATCTTTTTTCTAGGATTCCACACATACTTTGTAGGAACTTCTGTATAACTTAGGCTACCTCTTTGCAAAAAAAAAGCGGCCAATCTTCCTTTCCAGGCATCTGATTCAATAAGTGAATTAGCTATGAGTGAACAAAATAAATGAAAATTAGCAAAAAAACAGAGGGTAGTATCACATACCTTTGGATGTCGGTTTGATGTTTTCCTGATCAGAGGGGAAGAAGAGGAATGCTCGAGGTCTATTTATAGTTGTATTAGTCTTCTCGTTTATGGTAGATTCACAAATAATACTTTGAATAAGATCTAACTTTAATATTTTGGGAATTGTAGTTTCGTAGAACCTTTTTGTTTGACCACTCTAAACGATGAAGACTAAATTATATTTGTAGATGTTTATTTGGTCTTTTAATTTATACTTAAATGTTTATGGTTGTCTGAAATCGTTTAGTACATAGTCAAACTTTTCAAACATTGGAATGAAATCATTTCAGTAGTAAGGGGGACACACGCAACTACTCACTGAAAAAGTTACTTATACTCCGAGTATTATAACAGCATGATTATCATTGATTGTTATTTTAACAATGGCATATCTAAAAAGATAATCTCCAACGTTGAAAGAGGATCTCTTGAAAATGTTTATAACAGAAAGAAAGAACCAAACGAAGATTGAAAGACGAAACCACAAACTCATACCAAGGTTGGAGTAAGATTTGGAAGGTGGGAGTAAGATTTTACCTCAGATTGATCGGTAGAAGTATATATACATCTCGCTTCCAACTTCATCTGTTTGATTCCTCTGCTGCATCCTTTGTACTTCCTTCGGGATTAATAAATTCCAGTCCCTCACAGGCAACCAAATAAAGAAGCAAATCAATATCAAATTGTTAAACTTATTTCACAATAGCTCAACTTTCAGGAAATCTCATTAAGAAGTGAACTGAAATTTTTTATCTCTCAATTAAGCTAGCTGATTGAAAACGATTGGAGAAGCAAATAGCACCAAAACCAAACTTACGAATTAAGCACAGTCGCATACCCGGGTTTAAGAGAATCAATGGTTCTCAAAAACCCCATCTTTTACTACTCATTCACTTGATTATTTCATTGAAGACTATCAATAGACCAAAACCATATCTAACCGCATGCAAAGTATCAATTTTTGAGTGCTCGAAATTGCAACCTAAAACACACCAAGGTCACTCAAAGGTTCTCTCTTTCTTTAAGAACAGCTGCGAGCTTAGCTTAATCAAGCTTTTGCAGGAAACATCTCATGAAAAGCAAACAAAAACCCACAACACTATAATAATAAACCTCATAAGAAGATCTCTCTCTTAAACTGAATTAGGCTTGCAATGATATAAAATTCTCATTTAAAAACCCACAATTGAGATAGTAAAACATTATTCTAAAGGAACCTAACCACATAAGAACTTGTCGAATCTCTTAAAAAATCCATCTTTTACTACTCATTCCCTTTGACTCTTTCCTTCAAGACTATCAATCGACCAAAATAGAGAAGCAAATCAACCAAATAGAGAAGCAAATCAGCATTAGCTCAACATTCAATCTCTTAGAGAAGTTCATTTAGAAGTGAAGCGGAACTTTTCATCTCTGAATGAAGCTAATTGATTGAAAACGAATGGAGAAGCAAAATGCACCAAACAAACATACAAATTAAGCACAGTCCCATATTTGGGTTTATGAAAAGGGATCTCAAAAACCTTACCCGTTAACTCATCTGGACATAGCAGATCCGAAAGTAAGATCGACGAACCAAGAGAAGTAGAGAACCCGCCGTCACTATTACGATTGTCAAGAGCCATCTCCGCCAAATGCAAAAAAATCGAGAAAGAGAGAGAAGCGTTAGCGTTATTTTGAAATTCCAATGGATAGTGGACTCGGAAGAACGAAAAAGGGAATTGTTCGAGAATGAAATGGAGATTCATGTTTCGTTTTCGAAGAAGAACAAAAAAAATCGCGAGAATGAAATCGAAATTGTAAAAGGAAAACGAAATTAAAATTAACCAAACCGGGTAAAAAACGTGGCAAAGTAAACCAGAAATAAGACTCAGAAAACTTGAAAATGCTGAGTTGTCCTGACACATGATTTTTTGCTGTGTTGATTAGGATGTAACCATATAGGTCCGTTTGTAGCAAGTATCACTTGGGCTCTGTCACAAAGCCCATTTGATTTTTATCAGTTTTGTCTTATATTTTAGAGCCTAATAATTATAAATATTTCTAAAAAATTTCGAAACATTTGAAATTAGGGCCTAATATTTTTGAAACTTTTGCATATAAGGTCAAATATTTTCGAAATTTTTGCAAAATAGGCCCTAAATATTTAAAAGTTATATAAATAAGATAAATCTTGAAATATGCCTGTAACCATATCAACTACTCTCTCCGTTTCAAATTAGTTGTCGTTTTGGCAAAATGTATATGCAAATATTTGGACGTATCTGGACATGTTTTGTATTGTAGATACGTCCAAATATTTGCAGATACATTTTGCCAAAACGACAACTAATTTGAAACGGAGGGAGTATGTTGTTTTAGTAAATTGGTTATGACATCGATGACAAAGGGAATGCATATTGGATCATTCAGAACAGCTGGGGAGAAGAATGGGGGAGTACAAAGGATTAAAATGAGTAGACCAATGAATTAAAATGAACACTAACAAGATGTCCAAATTAAAAGTAGTGTTCCTCATATTTTTAGAAAAAAAAAACTTATTTATTATATTTTGTAGGGTAAACGCTCATATATTAGAAACATGCACAAAACCCCTAAAAATCAAATCTCCCTTCTGAACAGAGTGACGGCGGAAGAAGAGACGAGGAAACAAAAAAAAAGATGATGAAATCATCAGAGTCTCCGTCGTCTCTTCCTCCTCCTCGGTCGTTAATGTCGTTACCGCACGACGTGGTTTTAAACTGTGTGGCTCGTATCACAAGATCCCATCATCCAGTTCTATCTCTCGTCTCCAAGAGTTTCCGATCACTCGTTGCTTCCCCTGAGCTCGAGGCCACACGTTCCCTCATTGGAAACCCCGAGAAGTTACTCTACGTCTGCTTACGCCTGAAAAACAACCCTAGCTGGTTCGTACTTTCCCAAGATCCCAAACGGAAACTTATACCAATCCCTTCGTATCCTAACTTCCCTAACCAACATCCCGATTCCTCAACTGTCGTCTCAGTTGGTTCAGAGATTTACTTAATCGGCGGATTCGTGAAGGGAAAGAGAAAAAGAAGCAGGAGAGTGTTTCTTCTCGATTGTAAATCTCATCAATGGCGTCAGCTCCCCAAGATGCGTGTCTCTCGGAAAGATGCAGCCGCTGTGGTAAAGGATGGCAAGATCTATGTGAATGGAGGGTGCAGCGACAGGCGGTACAAGGACACTGAGAGTTATGGAGAAGTTTACGACTCAAAGACACGAACATGGGAGCCCACGGAGATGGAACGACGAAGTTATCTCATTAAAACGGCGTTTGGTTTGTGTTCGATTGTTTGCTTGGTAAATTCAGAGAATTACGCTATCTTTACCATGGACCATCCGCCATGGTGCTTTACAAGGGTTCTCAATGGAGAACTATGGTGCGGTGGTTCAGTCTTTTGGTATAGGGTTTCAGGACTTGAAGAACTGTCCTCTAACTATCTTATTTCGGTGGCAAACCCTAGCGGAGGAAGTAGAGTCACTGTTTGGTGGAAGAATACTAAGGAATGTAGAACAGAGATTTGGTGTGCTGAGATTTTGATTGAGAGTCTTCCTGGTAGAAAATTTCGAGGAACAGTAGAATGGTCTGAGAATGTGTTTACGTTTCAAGGATGTGAATCTGGTGATGGTGATCCCGTACTCCTTTTGCACTCTGCTTTAGTGAATTTTGTTTGAGTTTTTTTAGATAGTATAGTTTTGATGTGATTTCTTAGAGTTTTCTTTTTGTGTTATCTTTTTACGGACAAATTTATAATCGTATACCTTTTTCCATTTTTTGTTAGAGAGTTCGGACAAATATAAAACTTGATTTCTTGTGTTTGATTGATCTTTATTGAATGACCATGAGGTGTGTTAAATGACTACGCGCAAGCTCAGATTTTGTATGGTTTATTGGTAAAATAGTACATCACATGTGATCACTTAAGTTGAATTAGTTTACAACTTGACATGATCACTTGAGATAGGAAAAATAAAGGATTCTATGAAAACCCAAATCTGAAAATGCGACCCTTAGTTAGGGACGTTGGAGACAGATTAATGTACTATAGTTTATATATCGTTTATTATTTGCCCTGATGGAGGTTTACCTACACATTTTGTTCCTGATTTTCTTATCATTTTGCTCTTTGTACTGAGTTTAAAATCAGATTCTAGTTGATTCTATTGTGGATGTTGTGAGCAATGCACGATTGGACCTATTCTATCGCACAGGTTTAGACTTAATCCGTGCAGTAAGTAAAAGTTGACCAAACAAGAAACCAAAAATGTCAATCAAAATATGAATTTATAGTGTAGACTAAAAAATTACTAAAAATCTGTTTACCACCTTATCTTCCTTGCCATTTATTATAGGAAGGGGCTATGGTATTTGAGATGATTCCACGTGGAAAAAAGCCCTAAAAATTCATATTAGTCATGAGACTATGGATCGATCCTCCCAGGGTGCACATGTTATACTTCAGGAGGCTGAACAGCTGAGAATGTGAGAAAAAAAGCCCTAAAAGTTCTTATTTTGCACGTTTTTTATTCTTCTTTTTTCGTCGAGGAAACATTTACGTGCAAAATAAGAATTTTTAGGGCTTTTTTCTGCGACCATGGCTGATGTTGACAATTCCATCGATTCCCGAGATTCGAATGAACCGAAGATAGAGACAGATTCAGAAGACGAGGCAGAGATAGATGGCCCACCTAGAGGTTCCTTCTTGTACAAGGGAAAACTACTCCGACCTGCCTTATCGTACGACGATCTAGAATGTGACAAACAGCGAGATCTCTTTTACAAACAATTGGCAGATAGCGAGGTACGTAATATATCTATCGATTTAGGTGTCATTAATTTGTTATCATTCAATTTGTTTCATGGATCGATCAAGATCCAAACTGGAATTTACAATGTTTATTAATATATCTAGGGTTTTGATCACTTTGTCCCTCTGGTCTCACTCTTGTTATAATGCTTTTGTTTCTAGGGTTTTGATGTGGAGTGGGACCGTTTTGACTACGTGTTCAATGTCGTGAATTTTGACTGGAAACCATGTATAGATGATAACCGGAGCAATGAGGAGGTGATGGAAATGCTCATTCAGGCAGCCGTTAAAGAACACGATGAAGAAAATGTTGAAAGCTTAATTTCTCTTGTCTTCCTTTATATTTTATTTTATAATTTAAGGGTTCTCTATTTCTTATACATATTATATCCTGGGTTTTTTTCGCAGGACACAAGACTTGAGTCTGTCAAGTATGTGAGTGCAAACATTGTTAGTGTTAAGGGTTTGCTGTATTTTATAACGTTTTGGGCGACGGATGTGCTCTCATCAGATCTAAAGCCTAAACTTTACCAAGCAAAGGTGTCCAGATATTGTCAGGAGATGACAGTGCTTATGGTCAGGCTAAAGCCCACACAGTAACCAAGTAGTCTATGAGGTTAAAAAGATCTTCACTCAAAACTTAAATGGCTTTATCTTCTGGTTTTCTTCTTGTAACATTATCATCATATAAGCTGAATCCCGTTACTCATAACAAGATTTTATCTGAATTGTAATCTTCGGTGCATACATGTTATTCCATGGTGCTCCACAAATTCAATTTTCTCCGATCTTCCGAAGCCGCAGTTCCGATGGTCAAAATGTTATTTTCTCGTGTCATATCAGTACTTTTTAATCTTATTTACATACTACACTTAATTTTTCCTAACCATCAGTCCTAGCTATTATTCTTGTCACTCCTTAAGTTTGGTCTGAAAGTTGATAGGCTCATTCACTGAGATAGAATAACTAAGACTCTTTGTCGGAGTAGGTACTTACATTAAAAGAATCTTGCTTAGACGGTTTGCTTTTCAAAACTTAATTTATAATTAGCTACTTCTTCCTCTTATAAATTGGTGAAAAATATGAAATTGGTTTAGTACTATAGAATCAAGAGCCAACGTTTTACCAAACTAAGACGGACGTATGAATATCATAACATTATTATATTACTTTAATTTAAATTTATAATTAAATATTAAATATTAAATTGTGTTACCCATACAAACAACAACACCTGTACTCTAAGTCTCACGAACGTCTCTTATAGCTGATACGTCTCACCTTTTTTTACAATCTCTTTCTTCCTTTTTCACATTTTTTATTTATTTTTATTTATAAGAGATTGGTGCAGATCACCGCTGGACATGCTAATTGAAGTTTCAAGAAAAAGAAAAAAAAAAAAAACATTTAACCAAACTAGAACTATATCATTTCGCCCAAAGAAAGACTATAAATTACAGCGCATGCCATAGAGTATGAGAGCGTAGAGACCAATGAATCAACGGCTTCTCCAAAATGTTGTTCGGATTTTTAATAATTTGTCCAAGAACCCCTTTTATTAAACGTCTCAAATTGTCTAAATACTTAAACGTCCCATACTTAAATACGTCTCAAATCCGGCGTGTTAGAATACTTAAACTGTATGAATTGAGACGTATTTAATCACCTTCTTATCCTCCTTGCCATTTAATATAGTAAGGGGGTATTTGAGATGATTCCACGTTTTTTATTCTTCTTTTTCGTCGAGGAAACATTCTCGTGCAAAATAAGGATTTTAGGGGCTTTCTTCTTCGACCATCATGGCTGGTGTTGGCAATTCCAGTGATTTAAAGGAACCGAAGATAGAGACTGATTCAGAAGACGAGGCAGAGATAGAGGCCTCACCTAGAGGTTCCTTCTTGTACAAGGGAAAACTACTCCGACCTGCCTTATCGTACCGCGATCCGGAATGTGACACACAGCGAGATCTCTTTTACAAACAATTGGCAGATAGCGAGGTATGTAATATATCTATCGATTTAGGGTCTTGGTCCAAACTGGAATTTACAATGTATAATAATATATCTAGGGTTTTGTATCATTTTTGTCCCTCTGGTCTCACTCTTGTACAAATACAATGGTTTTGTTTCTAGGGTTTTGATGTGGAGTGGGACCGTTTTGACTACTTGTTCAATGTCGTGAATTTTGACTGGAAACCATTTATAGATGATAAACGGAGCAATGAGGAGGTGATGGAAATGCTCATTCAGGCAGCCGTTAAAGAACACGATGAAGAAAATGTTAACGAGCTTTCTTTAATTTGGTTTTCCTGTTTTTTGGCTTTATTATCTGCTCCTAACGGTTCTCTATTCTTATAAAAAACATTTTTGTGGTTTATTTCGCAGGACACGAAACTTGAGTCTGCCAAGTATGTGAGTGCAAATATTGTTAGTATTAAGGGCTTTCTGTATTTTATAACATTTCGGGCGACGGATGCTCTCTCATCAGATCAAGAGCCTAAACTTTACCAAGCAAAGGTGTCCCAGTATTGTGAGGAGATTACGGTCCTTATGGTCAGGCTAAAGCCCACGCAGTAACCAAGTCTTCACTCAAAACTTAATTGGCTTTATCTTCTAGTTTTCTACGTTAGTAACTTTCGGTGCATACAGATGATTCCATGGTGCTCCACATGCGCAGCCAAAAACTCTTTCTTTCTATTTTATAACCGCAGCAAATGTTGTGTATGTTTAATATTTTAATTTATGTACTTGTGTTATGTGATAATAACTGTATCCGAAGTAATGTGTGCTTTCTTCCTTGGAAAAATTGAGTCCTATAACCCTTTTATGTTTTTGATAATTATTGACTACTTAGCTCATCTCTAAATCCATTTAGCTTAGCTCACCCAAAGTTCTAAACTTTGCATTCCATTGCAGTGAACGACTTTAGGCTCGAAACATTGGCCTATATGTAAATTTACGTACTACCTTGTCTCAGATCATTCGATATAAAAACAATTATCCATACAATAAAGCCTAAACTTTACCAAGCAAAGGTGGCCAAGTATTGTGAGGAGATGACGGTCCTTATGGTCAGGCTAAAGCCCACAGTGTAACCAAGTCTATGAGGTTAACAAATCTTCACTGAAAACATAAATGGCTTTATCTTCTTGTTTTCTTCTTGTAACATAATCATCATCATATAAATTGAATTCCGTTACTCATAACAAGTTTATCTGAATTGTAATCTTTGGTGCATGCAGATTATCCCATGGTGCTCCACAAATTCGTTTTTCTTCCATCTTCCGAAGCCGCACTTCCAGTAATATGGATGGTTAAAATGTTATTTTCTCGTGCCATATCAGTACTTTTTAAGTATTTTATGGACGGTTTGAATAATTATATTTACATATACTATACTTAATTTTCCTAACCATACTTCCTAGCTATTATTTTTCACTCCATAAGTTTGATCTTTATTGCATCGTATTTTAAAAGTTGATAAGCTCATTCGTTGAGATAAAAGAGTGAAGACGCTTTGTCGCCTTGTCGGAGTAGGTTCTTAAATTAAAAGAATCTTTTTTTTTTTTTAAGGTAACATTTTATTAAGCCATGATTTGATCAAATCATGCAGTTTCCGAAAAACGGTTACAAACAAAGATAAAGATTAGAGTTCAAAAGATGAACTAGATTATATCGAATCTTCCGCTCCGATAAACTTTTAAGCTAAAGAAAATGAGACTCAGCCACGCCCTTCACGTCCACGAGCCGTTATTTGCCAATTCATTTCTTTAGCCTTTGTCGATGGTTTAACCGGTCTGTCTCGAAGGATTCTCTTCCCGGAAGGTGTCATAAAATCCGTCTCATCTGACTCCTTGTCTGAATCCGACGAATCTGCTTCTTCTTTCGGTAAAGCCAATGAGGCAAACTTATTAGAACCAAGATCTCGCTCAATCAATCTCTCGGTCTCCAAATGGAAAGTGGAGTTTCCTTGAGCAATGATATCTGTTGATAAAGAACTAGCAGCCCCTAAAGTAGGAGACTCAATAAATTCCTCAGCGATGATAGTAGCTTGATTAATAGGTTGTGTTGTAGACACAAAAGTAGTAATTGGGTCACAAGGAGGTACCTCAGTGACAGGAGTTGAGACAGAAGCAACTTGAGCTAACGTAAGGTCAAGCTAAATAGAACATGAAATAAGATGATTGCGTATTTAGCATCAAAAATAGCATTATATCATTTTGCAATTAAAAATGACATAAAGTAGAAATCGGTTTTTTTATTCCAAAATGGAGTTTGACACCAAATATGCATATAGATTACCATTTTTTTTTTTTAAGGTAACATTTTATTAAACCATGATTTGATCAAATCATGCAGTTTCCGAAAAACGGTTACATGCAAAGATAAAGATTAGAGTTCAAAAGATGAACTAGATTATATCGAATCTTCCGCTCCGATATACTTTAAGCTAAAGAAAATGAGACTCAGCCACGCCCTTCCACGTCCACGAGCCGTTATTTGCCAATTCATTTCTTTAGCCTTTGTCGATGGTTTAACCGGTCTGTCTCGAAGGATTCTCTTCCCGGAAGGTGTCATAAAATCCGTCTCATCTGACTCCTTGTCTGAATCCAACGAATCTGCTTCTTCTTCCGGTAAAGCCAATGAGGCAAACTTATTAGAACCAAGATCTCGCTCAATCAATCTCTCGCTCTCCAAATGGAAAGTGGAGTTTCCTTGAGCAATGATATCTGTTGATAAAGAACTAGCAGCCCCTAAAGTAGGAGACTCAATAAATTCCTCAGCGATGATAGTAGCTTGATTAATAGGTTGTGTTGTAGACACAAAAGTAGTAATTGGGTCACAAGGAGGTACCTCAGTGACAGGAGTTGAGACAGAAGCAACTTGAGCTAACGTAAGGTCAACTTGAGCAGATGGAGCTTCCGTAGAAGTACTTTTGGTGGCAGGAGATGAGACAGAAGCAACTTGAGCTAACGTAGTGTCGTCAACTTGAGATGAAACTTCCGTAGAAGTAGTTATGGTGGCAGGAGCTGAGACAGGATCAACTTGAGTTGGGAAATCAACTTGAGCAGATATTGAAGCTTTCTTAGGAGTACTTGTGGTGATCACAGAGCGTATGTCATCATCCATCGCAGGAGCCTTAGTTGTTGTAGTAGCAGCTACACTTGAAACAGTTTGTAAACAACGCTTAACTTTGTGTCCTAATTGGCCACACCTAGAACATTTTGATGGCAGCCATGCATATTCCACATCAACCATACAAATAAATCCCCTTTTGTCTTCAGCAGCAATTCTTGGTGGAAAGGCTTTGCTCAACTCAACCTCTACCAAAATTTTTGCTTCACCCATAAGAATAGGGTCTAGTCTAGGCTTGTGAGTTGCCATCGGAGCACCTAAACCTGAAGCTATGTGACTAATTCCAGGGATAGAATACAAGATGTTGGGTATCTTTTTTAGAGTTACCCACACAGGAATTGTTTTGATTTCAGGGATAGCTAGGGAAGGTTCCGGGGTCCAGGGAGCAACAAACATCAGACAATCATCAACATGCCACAACCCTCTTTGAAGAACCCAAGTCCTAGTGGATTCATCCGGAATATGAAAAAGGTAGTTACATTCCCCAAGCTTCCTAATGGTTACTTTGCAAGTTCTTCCCCATAATTTGTTAAAGACCGCAAAGATTAAGCCACCAGGAGGAGGAGAACATCTATAAAACTGCCCTAACACATACTCTTTCTGGTTCTCTAAGCCTTGCACCAAGACATGTTGAGGAATCGTTACCTTTGGAGTTCCGTCTTCTAGGAATTCAGGTTCAGTTGCTCTGTAGAGATTCCTTGAAGATGGACTCATCTTCGCTGCCCATGGAAACCTGATAGCATCTTCCATTGCTACTGGTTTTTGAAAAACTTGTGGCTCACTACAGATGGACTTTGATGCTCCTAAAGAGGGCCACATCTTTTGATCCACTGTAGAACGAGAGATAGAAACAGTTGAAAGGTCCAGCTTCTTAGCCCAAGCGCCAAGAGGTGGAGATTGGATAGAGCCTTGTGGCAAGGGTCCTTGGCCAGATGGAGCCACAGCTTCCGTCTCTGGAAGTGGAATGAGAATGTCAGATTCCCCTTTTGAATTTCCAGAAGCCTCCAATTTGTTTTCGGGAGCCGATTCTAAAAGGACAGGGGAGTCAATGTTCTTCGTCGGCAACTCCACTTGACATTCAGAGATGGCAAGAGAAGATGATTGAGGAATTACATTACTTTCTAAAAGAATCTTGCTTAGACGCTTTGCTTTTCAGAGCTTAATATATATGGAGTACTTGACTATTTCGTCCTCTTATAAATTGGTGAAAAATATGAAGCTAACTGAAGTTTGAAAAAAAACATCTTACCAAGCTAAAAGCCTAAAACTATGTAATTTCGCGCCAAAAAGAAAGACTATATTATAAAATTACAGCGCATGCCATTAGAGTATGAGAGCGTAGACCAAATGAATCAACGGTTTCTCCAAAATGTCCGTTTTGCCCCCGCGACTTCCCAAAACGATTTCTTTCTTCTCAAAACCAAAGCTTTCTTGGTCCAGAAGCTTTCAGAATCTACCGACCTCAATCTCACGAATTTATTACATACTCTAATCCTGAAACGTGGGTTCTCGAGCGACACCTTCACTGTGAATAAACTCATAAACAGCTATGTCAAGCTCAGAGAAATCAACACAGCACGCAATGTGTTCGACGAAATGCGTGAACCAAACGTCGTTTCCTGGACTTCGGTTATCTCGGGGTACAACGAGACGGGTCAACCCAAAACCGCTCTTTGCATGTTTCAGGAAATGAGCAAAGACATATCCGTGCCTCCCAACGAGTTCACATTCGCAAGTGTCTTCAAATCCTGTTCTGCTTTGGCCGAGTCAAGAATCGGGAAAAACATCCACGCCCGTCTCGAGATCTCCGGTCTCAGAAGCAACACCGTGGTGAGCTCCTCTCTTCTTGACATGTACGGGAAATGCAACGACGTGGAAACAGCTAGACGGGTTTTCGACTCCATGCTCGGTTGTGGAAGAAACGTTGTTTCTTGGACCTCGATGATCACTGCTTATGCGCAGAACGCTCGTGGACACGAAGCTATTGACTTGTTTAGATCATTCAACGCTGCTTCAACATCTGATAAACCGAATCAGTTTATGTTGGCTAGTGTGATTAGTGCTTGTTCTGGTTTAGGTAGGCTTCAATGGGGTAGAGTCGCTCACTGTGTAGTGACTCGACGTGGGTACGAGTCGAACCTTGTGGTTGCTACTTCGCTTCTTGATATGTACGCGAAGTGTGGATCGTTAAGCTGTGCGGAGAAGATCTTCTTGAGGATTCGATGCCACTCTGTTATATCGTACACGTCTATGATCATGGCAAAGGCAAAGCATGGATTTGGAGAGGAAGCGCTTAAACTGTTTAATGAGATGGTTGCGAAGAGGATTAAGCCTAACTATGTGACGTTACTTGGTGTGTTGCACGCTTGTGGTCATTCGGGATTGGTGAATGAAGGGTTAGGGTACTTGAATTCGATGGCTGAGATGTTTGGTGTGAGTCCTGACGCGAGGCATTACACTTGTGTTGTTGATATGCTTGGGAGGTTTGGCCGTGTTGATGAAGCTTATGACTTGGCTAAGAGGATAGAAGTTGGTGCAGAGCAAGGTGCGTTGTTGTGGGGAGCTCTTCTTTCAGCTGGAAGGTTACATGGAAGAGTTGATATTGTCTGTGAAGCGAGCAGGCGGTTGATACAATCGAATCAGCAAGTTACAAGCGCGTATGTTGCGTTATCTAATGCTTACGCCTTAGCTGGAGGATGGGAAGATTCAGAGTCTCTTAGAGTGGAGATGAAGCGTGGTGGAAATGTGAAAGAACGAGCTTGTAGCTGGATTGAGGTTAAGGGTTCGGTTTATGTTTTCCATGCTGGTGATTTGTCGTCGTGTGATGAGAGCGGTGACATTGAGAGGTTTATGAAGGATTTAGAGACGAGAATGAAGGAGAGAGGGCACAGAGGAAGTAGTAGTAGTGTGATTACAACAAGTTCGTCTGTTTTTGTTGATGTTGATGAAGAAGCTAAAGAGGAAATGGTGAGTTTGCATTGTGAGAGATTGGCTTTAGCGTTTGGATTGATTCGTTTGCCTGAAGGATCGACGATTCGGATTATGAACAACTTGAGGATGTGTAGAGATTGTCACGAAGCTTTCAAGCTGATCAGTGAGATTGTGGAGAGAGAGATTGTTGTTAGGGATGTGAATAGGTTTCATTGTTTCAAGGATGGATCTTGCACTTGTCGTGATTTCTGGTGAATCCTCATCTTTTACCATTAGAAATTGGTTTTATTTTTCCTGATGTATACCACCGATTGTAGTTTCACATTCAAGAGTAACACTTGATGCAAAAAAGTTACGGTTTGACTACAAATAAGATCAGGTGAATACAAATTACTATTTTACTAAAAGAGTAAAATAGCCTACATATTCAAAGGAAGTAAGATTTATAGCTAATGGAATTGAGGTAGTTACGGTTTGAATACAAATTTAATGTTCTATCGGTAGAAAATTAGAAACAAATAGACTTCACTGGTACGGTAAAGAAAGTGTAGCCATGACTGAGCCAGGAGTTAACAAAGAACACAGCCAAAACTGAAGATAAACCTGTTTACACCGAAAGGCCAGACGAAGTGTTTATACTATCTACTGAAATGCAGGGTTTATGAATGGTGAAACCGAGAAGAGAACATCCAAACATCCTTAAAAGGAATGAAAATGCAGAGGAGCATCATATTAAGCTATTAGCATCTTGCTCAGGACATATGCAACCGAAGAAAGAACCAAGTACAGATACAGATAGCAATACCAGTAAACAAACGAAATATAAAACATCCGGATTCTTATCTTCATATTATTTGCTCGGGGAAAACGCTACTCTTTGTAAGATGACAAAACAGACGAATATGATTACATACCTGAGAGAAGCTGGTTACGCTGCACATGATCTCGATAAAACATCGCAAAAAAAAAATGTATTTCCATTCCGATTAATAGTTTGAAAACCAACTGAAACAGGATCAGAAGGCAGAAAAGAGCAGTGTCTTGTCACAACTCTTATCACTAACCAATTGTTTAGATGAGTAAAATCTAAGAATCCTGTTACTCTTCTATAAAAAAACATTCTTTGGTTAATCTTAGATACCCGGCGAGCAAAAAGAAGCAAGACCAGAAACAGGACCCTGAGAGAGTTACTGCAGACTTAAGACCTTATGTCCATCTCTAGTGTCCTGTATCCAAGTCTTCCTTTCCTAATCTATTCAAGGGTAAACAGCCTTGAAAGCTAGGGATTACAAAAATCTGCTAATTAATAAGACTACTTCTATGGATGTTCATGAAACCATCTCTGCGCCGAAACACTATTCTATTCTTTTAGAAGGACCAGAGACTATGTACAAAATAGAGTCAACACTTTGGGCCACGGAATCTTGGTCAACTAAGAACTTTCATGGCAAGCTGAATCATCCGTACAAGCGCTTCCACGTCATGGAAACTGAAATCGACAACTTTCTTGATAGCAGAGACAAGCTCTTCATCCTGAGTTTCTTCTGAGGTGACAGCCATTGCTCTAAAAGCATTTTGGGATTTTGCTGAGGCTTCCATTGCTAGATTCATGTTCTCTGTCTGTATTAGATCAAGAATACCATATCAGATTATGAAAAAACAAAAATAAATGCTTGCATTATGTGTTGCATCAAAGATGTACAGGCAATGCATGTATCATGCAAATAATTGATTAAGATGTGATAACTTACAAAGTCCAGTAGCGGCACAAAATTCAGCTGGGTTATAGCAACAGGGAGAATGTTTCCAGCAACATGGGAAAGACCTCTTTTAGTTTTAGCAGACTTATCAATCACCCCTTGATGATTAAAGCTATCGACATCAGAAGCAGATGATGACGGTGATTCACCTGGGGAAACAATCAAACGAACAAATATGACTTTACTGAAACATACAGAGGTGAATAAGTTTTCAGTATCACAAACAATGATAACAATTCTGACATCACTGCCATTGAAAAGAAAACACTCAGGGGAAAAAATATCACTCACTCACTGATATAAGCATAGATGCAAAATCTGATATTACCTAGAGGAGTGATCTGTACTACAATTTTTTGCAATTCATTCCATTCTCCACTCTGCTGACCTAGAGTTTTGCCATACACTAGCCTCATGCAAGCCACTTCCATGCATTTATAGGCCAAAGCAGCTGCAGCCATTTCTTGGTTTATTTCATATTGACTGGCACAGCTTCTGTGACAAACAAGCAGAGTGTTTAATGACCACAAAGTTCATAAGAGAATCACCAGCATTCTTTCAAACACCAACACCTAAAGACAATGTAAGAAAGCACAAGCATTCACTAACTCTGAAAGTTTTGCAGCAGTATGGTACGCTTCAACATGGCGCATCTTCTCCCCTTCCACTTTCTCAGTACTTTGCATTTCTAGAAGTGAAGCTCCAAGGAGATACTTTAGAGCCGCTATAAAGTGGGCCTCCTTGTAATCAAATTTAGAATTCTGAGTACATAAGTAGAAAGACATCCGAATTAGTGGCCAACACAAAGCTAAAGAAAGACAACAGTGATTCACATTACTTTTCCATCATTTGTTTTGTTCGTTTATTTATAGCAGATGAACCTTAGAACTTCAGACTACATTAGAGGTAGGATAAATTTCTGACCTTCAAACATTCAGCATACGTTCTCAGCTGTTCAGCCTCTTGAAGTATAACATTTGCACCCTGGGAGGATCGATCCATAGTCTCATGACTAATGGAACTGAAATTCTCTATCCCAGCTCTATTTTCGAGGTCTTTTTTTATACTTGTGCAACGCAAATCACCAAACTTTGAGTTCTGTTTGCATATTTCTGGTTTTGGCTGGTTCCTGTTTCCAGGATGAGTTGACTCACAATCAGCTTCCTGAGAGAGGGGTATTCTATTCAAGTTTTGGTTTTGTCGAGATATGCGCTCTCCAGCTAATGCAAGACTTTTCGGGCATGAAGACCTTGCAGGGGAAGAGGATACTGATTCAACAGGGGATGCTTTTGCTTCTTCCACACATCTTCTAACACTTTTATGTGATCCCAAGACCTTTGAAGAGCTTGATGTTTCTACCCCAGAAACTTGCCCACTTCCACCAGAGAAGAATCTGCATGAGGCATCAGCATTCTGCTTTGACTGAAACAATTCATTTCTTTGGTCTGCTTTAAACTCCATAGAGGTGAGTTTTTCCTCACCATCTGCAGAAAGTTTTGAATTGTTGCCATTGTTACCCACCAACCTTATTTTTTTTGCTTTCGTACACAAGGAGCCACTAGCATTTGTCAGCTGAGGTTTGTGATCAGGTTTCTTTCTAGATGTGAGTAATCTTTTCTTTGAGTCTCGCTCTACATCTGAAGTGCAAAAATCGTTGTCATGACGCTTAATTTTTCTGTCTGCAGGAGTCCAATCTTGATCTTGTTTCCAATGTATTTCTTCTGCTTTTATATCTCTGAAGAGTTTGTTTCCATCACCAGTCTTGATTTGCTTGGAACCTTCACTTGCTTGATGGTCACCCTCCGTTTTCTTCTTGATCATAATCTGATTACCACTACCTACAATAATAACAAGTTTTTTTTTATAAAGAAAGATGCCAAACTGCGTTAAAAACGTACACCAGTTGTTAGAAGGCAGGACTAACCTGCTGTTCGCCACTTCGCTTTCTGGTCAATCTTTTTCTGATCAAAATCCTGTGGCACACCAAGGTCTGTGGATATCTGACTAGCATTAAGTGGCTCTAGCGGCAGCTTTATGTTTTTTATTTTAATCATATGTGGGTTTTTTCTCATAGGCTTTGCAGCATCAACCAGGCCATTTCTTGATAAGTCTTTCACGGTAGACTTCTTTTCAATTGGATTAGGAAATGAACCAGAGGTTAAAGGTTGATAGCTTTTATCAGCATTACTCGCATCAGAGAGAAATGTAACACCAGTCTCAGGACCGTGAGCCTGAGTACCACCATGATAGGATTTTATAGCGTTTATTGTCTCTTCCTCGCTGATGGCACAGTGATTCATCTCAGGTCTACAAGAGAATTTCAGAAAGGATGATAATTAGATATAATAATATGATAACCTGAAGATACTGCAAAAGCTTGAAAGACCAAATCCAGAAAGTAAGTAGAATAGTTATCAATGCAATTTCAGATGTGGCCTTAAAACGTTTCAAAACGCTTCTCCTATAATGAACTATGAAACTTGATTCAAACTAACCCTGATAGCAACTAGAAAGGACTAGTATTAGAAAGTGAATGGGTGATGTAGAATACATTAGACACTTACAGCCAGGTTTGCATGCTACACAACCACTTCTCAGGCAGCTGCTCAGTTTTCATGCCAAAGGGCAGTAGCCGCCATGTCTCACAACTATCACACTGGGCCCAGTTATCAAGATCAAGACTAGTGGAAGAAGGTGCAACAGCCAAATCAAGCCCAATGTCCATGCTATTTTGACCGATATATGTAGCATCCTTGAAAGGCGTCTTTGGTAACATTTTATCACCAAAATCGATACTGCTGCTGTTCTGTTTCAGTTTTGTTGGATATGGATTCTTCTCCTTCTCAGCATGTTTCCCAACAACCTTCATTTTGCTTGATATGGCAGATGCCACAAGTGGACCACTTTCCCCATCCCTTTTTCTACCTTTCTGCAAGTTACTTTTCTTTGTAAATCCATCAGCAGAACTTTTCCCACCTAAACCACAAGCTAAGCTCTCCCTGGCTAGCTGACCAGTGGGAAAAATTCTTTGCTTCTTCATCACACCATTCCGAGTGGTAGCATCAAAGCAGTCTACCGCTTTCCTTCGCTTTCCACTTGGAGTTCCCCCACTACTTAAAACATCCGAGAACTTGTTTTGTGACTTACTAGAAGGTTCCTCTCCTGCCTTGTCCAGTAAAGTATATTGCTTCTCCTTATCTTTCACAAGAAGTAGACTATCAGGAAGAGGCGACATCAGTAGATCCTCTGGGATGAGAATGGCAGTCATTTCCTGTTTCATGAAGTTAACAGTAAGTTGGTATCAAAATCGAACCACTTAAAGCCACACACAAAAAGAATGTGATATGTGATATACCCGCAGAATGCAGGAAGGAGATTCACTTGTTTTCTCCAGGGATGTACGAGGTAGCATTCGACTACCATCATCTCCATGGCTGGTTCGGGATGTTGAATTCGGAGAATCAGTGAGACCAAGATCTTTGCAAACCATTGTGACCTTCCGAGACAAGATTTCAGAGCCCATTTTGATCCGAACCCTGATCGGCTTATGCTCAGACAAACCATTGCCTGGTATACTTGCAATTGCTTTCATTATGGGAACCTTTACAGGAGCTTGAGCCAAAAGGGATCCTGACGTTTGACAGTTCTGAGGACCCTGCTTGCTTACTAAGTTACAAGATGTAGCAGGCATGGACTGAAACTTCTGAACCACATTCTGCGCAAAACAATAGTTTATTGGTACTACTACTCATATTTAAACTATTTATAATACTAACGAAGCAATCAGAACAAGCATTGATCCACCAAAAGGTCCAGATTCCTTCAAACATCAACAGAGAAGTGTATTTCTCATACCTTCTCCGGTACATTGTTTGCAAATCCTTGCACGGCATGATTCCCAAAGGAACCTCGTTGACATGGTGGTACCGCCGGCTCACGTTTGTAAGTGGGCAAAAAGGATCCATACTGATAGATATCTGGACCTGACCAGTCATATATCAGTCTATCAATTTCATTTCATCTCTCAGAATACTTTCTCACTAACACCATTGTTAAAACTACTTACCAACCATGCCCGGAGATCCCACTTCATAATCTTTTTGAAAGTGGCCAAGTACACTCTGCACCTTCTTGTCCTTCAATACACAGAACAACAAAGCAACAAAACTTGATTTCAACAATGCAGAGCGTATAGACAATAAAATCAAGTGGCAGCATTACAAAGGTTAAATATTCAATAAAAGAAAAGACTTCAGCAAACGAAGATACAAGAACAGAGAAGAAATGCTCAGCCACACTTATAAACATACTATGTTCCCCAGTGGAAAATGCAGACAAGTGAGATTTCATATACTACAAAAGAGGAACAGTTCTTTTATCTTGGAACTCAAAAAGTAAGTCGAACAAGCAAAATATGAAAATACATAGCATTTGACTTATCTTTTAAAAGCTATATCTAAGTGAAATAAGTCTAAGATGCAATACAACTTCATCGTCATTAGCCTTACTAACACAGTGCTCTAAACTTTAATTACTTCAGTAACCAGCAACTTAACCAGTAAGCAGAAACTAAACATCATTATCCAAAAAACCTTCAACTTTCAAGTTAACAAATCCCAACATTGTAATTAGCTAATGCATAATTCTACACAGAGAACATTTTGAGATGAAAAAATCAGCAAACAAGAGGCTCACAATGTAGGAGAGATCAACGTCAAGATCAACAACGGCTTCACCAGTAGAACAATCCATCTCACCTTCTTCAAGTTCAGAACTTTCTCCCATCCTTTCAAACTACAAAACCCTAAACATAACCCTAAACCCAAATTCCCAATTTCAAACCCTAAGAAAACTTCCTAAAACTCAAACACTAACTCTGCCGCCACAAACCGTCCCGAAAATCCAACATTGCCCCCAAAAAAACCTCTCAAACACATCCAAAATTCAGAGTATCCACGGAAATCCCTGAGTTTCTCAATCTCCAACACAAAGGGACGGTTTTGATTGATTTTTCAAAATTAATCGCTTAATCACGTTTATTCGAACCCCCAACGATCAGGCTCGTTCTCTCGATCAAAGAGCCGAGAAGTTCAAAGGAACGATTCGATCACTGAGTCGAGTCGTAATCGAGTCAAAAAAACGGCGGAAAAAATCCGAGAGGCGGCGAAGAGTGGGCTGCGAGGTTTACGAAACGTTCGCAACTTCCTTTGCGTCTCCGAGTTTTTTTGCAGACAAGACGCAAAGCGGAAGAGAGTGTTTAGTTTTGGAGGGTTCTTCTTTCGTTTAATCATTAATTAATTATTATTTTTCCCCTTTATTTTTAGCGTACTTTTTTTTTTTTCTATATTTCGTCTCTCTCATTCAAAGCTAGTCAAATATTACATTTTACCCCTTCTGTTTCTTTAATTTTTATGATTGGCTAAAAAAACTTAAATTTTTAAACACAGATCCCAAAAGATGAGATATTTATTTGATATTGATTACCTTTTGAATGATATAGATATGTGGGGATTGATGTCAAAAAAAAAAAGATATGCGGGATCTTCTAAATTCTTTTTTTTTGTGATGTGGGAATGAATTCTTAGATACTTTATTTTCTTTCTATTTAAATTTGGGACGTATTGGTTAGCTTTCCTTATTAACATGACAATTGGAACGGAGACTAATTTGTCAGCTTTCCATATTATTAGTAAGATGAAAATCATGAATTATGGAAACTTTGGAAAACTTTGAATCTCCTTTTATTAATTAGTCTGACAAACTAAGATTTGAGAATCTTGCATATTTATTTGTATGTACTAATTTCTTATTTAAAGTGATTGGACACTTGAAGTCTTTAATGCAAAAGTTTGAACTTTAAACAATTTGAAATCGCATAAACACTAACAATCATTAAGTTCGACCTCAACCAGCAACAATCTTTCCGTTATAACATGATAAGTTTTTAATACAAACATCAGAGTTCAACGATTGTTTTTTTTTTATGTAAAGCATTGAATTTAATTGATTGAATTTCAAACCTTCTTTGTTTGATTATAGTTTACTTTGTCTTGAATGTCACAGTAATAAAGCATTAAAGCTGAACCAAAACCATTTATAGAGATCAACCAAATCGCTGAACTGTGATGATTGTAGCAGAATTTTGGGGACCAAGTATATTAATATGGATTATTTTAGATCATGTAATATTTTCTCATATTGATACTATGAGTTATCAAGTTGCGGGATCTAACCCGACGAAGAAATTTGTAGTATAGTATATTCATTTCCAGTATTCTAATTAAGGTCACTTGATCATATCGACAAACCTCAATATTATCAAAACTTATGAATAAAAACGACTTAGTATTTTACCAATAAACATTTTAACAAAAAAAATTACCAATAAACATACGTGAGATTTCCACCAAAAAAATAAACATACGTGAGATCGTTAGTTTGATCATGAGTACACCATTTAACGAAATCAAAGAATGTTGTGATATAAAAGAAACAAGTTAATATGCCTTTTTAATCAAGAAGAAATAGTTACTTATGCGTTAGTACTAATACTCAGTAGTGAGGCATTTGAAGCATTACCAGAAAAGAGGATATCGAAAAAACGTCATTTAACAGAAAATCATAATTGTCTTCACTATTTTCTATAAAAAAATTTATCTCGGCAACTGAATAAGCTAGATTCTATAAAGAAAATATTCACACATATGTAAGGAATAGAGTATCTACAATAATTGATTGAGATGTCCATAAGTCCATTGTATCTACAAAAAAACACACCAGAATTTCAGGCATTTATAATTGACAAAAAAAGTACCAAACTTTGTGCCGCATTAAAATATTCCAAATATGGAAAACAAAATCGTTGGCCTAACGATACATCCATATACAGAAAACTATTCATGGTTAATCTATATATAAACTCACTACACACACAACAACGAAAACAAAAACAAAGAAAGGAAAAACAAGAAGAAGAGAGTAAAGATGAAAGGCCTTATGATCTTATTGGTGTTTTCTTTTCTCTGTTCTCTCAACCAATCTTGCCCAAGGTATACATATGATGCTCATATTTCATATGAAACTGTTAATTTTATCAGTACCGGTTCCAATCCAATCCGGATTTGAAAACTTAGACCACATGCAACACAATCTAATTAACTAGTCTACAACTTTAAATTTGTTTTTGTATCTACGCAGAGTTAGAGTGGTGCCCATCAAAGGATGTGTTCAATGGGTCGTGCTCAGACAGAGGAAGCTACACATGTTTCCTAGATTTATTGGGATCAAAGAGTGCAAGTGCTATGCCCAAGAATTGCAAATGCACTCCTCTTCCTCAAAACCGTCGTCAATGTGACTGTTTTATCATTTGTTCTGACTAGTTATTGTTTCAGTTTCTCGATTATAATTAGTGTTTGGACTCTTTCCATTTGCATTAAGCTTAATTTACTACTATTACTAGTGAGTTCTCTATTCGTAATAACCATGTATATGGAATAAATTCATTCTAATAATTATACCATAAAAAGGAGTTAAACTCATTACAATATTTCCACAGAATCACATAAACAGAAAATGTGTTTTAATTGATTTCCAGTCAGAAGGATAGTTTTGGTACAATAACCTTTTTTTTTTTCTCTTTTAGTTTTTATTTTTTTCATGTCAACATTATCTATACCTAATTTATTGGTCAACCATGTATTTTGAATAAATCCACTCTAAGAATTATACCATAAAACAGAGTTGAAGTCATGACAATATCTTCACCAAATGGCATGAAAGAAATGTGTTTTTATTGTATTTCCAAAAATATGAGGTGCAAAGAAGTTGTACAACTGCTATATATCATCAATTTAGAACTGAAACCATAACATACAATCAATCAAATAAAACAAAACATATACATCTTCCAAGAGGGAAACAAAAGATGAAGGTTGCTGCAATCTTTTTGGCTTCTTGTCTCCTTTTCTCTCTTCTCCCCGTACACTTTTCACAAGGTAAATAATAGTATATATAAAATTCAATGAATTATCTTGCTCATCAAAATAACTGCCTGGCTTAGTTTCGCATTATAATTTTTTTTTTTCTTTTTTTTGACATGTATAACAAAATCGAAGAACCAAGTGTTGTACCAACACAGGAGCCAGTTTACTGTCGTTCGAAACAAGTGTTCAGAGGATCATGCACAGATAGAGGCAGTCCACAAACCACTTGTTTACTTGACTTTTTGGGTGCAAGAAGTGCGAGTGAGATGCCTAAAAACTGCAATTGTACTCCTCAGCCCAAAAACATGCGTCTCTGTGAATGTCAAGTTGTTTGCGAAGGTTGTTGTAATTAACAGTTGCTAATACTAATATGTTGTTCACTTGTAATACTATATACCCAACCCTATAATTTTTATTAAAAATGATTAAATTTAAATATTAAGAGGACATCTATTAATGAAAACACACAGACATCCAATAATATTTGATTATCTCATTTTGAGTTGTGACCAATATATAGATAGATTAAGAACCGTGTATTACAGTAATAATAAAATAAATGTTTTCACATTTACCAATTAGTTTTTTAAAATACTGATTAATTGTACACAATTTGTGTGTTTGTTTGATCTGAACGTTGTATATAACATATGCACACTCACTAGTTTTATTTCATCTCTGTCAAGTCGGGTAATGTTAATGACTGCATGCGACTCAAACACTCTCCCAAGGAGCCTTTTATATTTACAAATTCCAATGGATAAAAACAAGCATGGACCCGAAGGAGGAGTCCCCATTAACAAGGTAAACCAAACACAAAACAGAAAACGAAATTATAATTTTGTTATTGATGAAATTAGAACTTGCCGGAACCAAGAAAGTTTCAAAGCAAGTTATATATCTCGATCTGGCTCCAACCTATTGCTTTTTATTGCGGCTTCACTGTTGGTTTTGCCCATTGTCTCCTGTGACTACCGTGGCTGCGTAGAAAACAAACAACTGTTGGGGCATTGCGGTTGGTGCAGCCGGAGGAATTGTAGGTTGAGATGGAGCCGGAGGAGTTGTAGGTTGAGATTTAGCCGGAGGAAACGTAGCTTGCTCATTTAGAAACTTATACATGAAGCTCAGTGTTCCAGTTTTCCTAGACTTATCTCTCACATGACTAACATCACGAGTTACCAACTTCATATCGTTAGTTAACGTAGACGGCGGATTTAAACCTAAAAGCTCATGAATGGGGACTTTCACTTCTCCCATTTCCTTATCTCCGCGGATCGTCCGGTGGTTAATCAGTTGCACGTAAAGGGTCAATCTACCTTCACGAGCTAATGGCTCGTCGAGTGTAAACTTAATGGCATGGTCCCATATTGGGTCTTTATGGACCCCAAAGGCAATAGGAGTATTGCTTCTATGCACAATTCTTGCGCCTTCGCAGACCTTAACCGAAGCGTACATGTCCATCCCACGGATCCAGCTGTTATCTTTTACGCCCTTTGTCATTTTGATCACAAGATCTAGGGTTAGCTTCTTCATAGGGGTTTGAATCTGAGGCGGGTTTACGCTTCTTTCTGAGTCCAAGTTTAGACTACGAAACGATGATGATGATGCGTGTTCCGAGAAAGAATGATACATATTACCAGCAAGTCCACGTTTAAACCGGTACAAGAGGCTTAGCTTCGCTTTGGATCCTCCTATGACATTCACAGGGAGAGTCATCAACTTCATTTTATCGTCGTTACCGTTTGTGAACGATGTAATCGGATTTAAAGCAAGAAGCTCTTGAACCGAGACGTTGACTTCTCCGATTTCCAAGTCAACAACCTCTTCGAGCCAATAGTTGTATAACTTGACGTTGACTGTCACTAGTCCTTCGCGGGCTTCTCTCTCCGTAACGGAAAACTTAACGGGGTGATTCCACGTCGGGTTAGAACCACCGTCGAAGTCAATTGTAGTTTTCTTGGCCGCTTGTGTTTGAGAATTGTTATCGCCGTGTATTGAAACGACGGCGTATACGTCCATCTTGTTCGTGGCATTTGTATGGCTGACGTCAGTAGCACATATGATTTTGAGCTCGAGAGTTAGATTCTCTCTGGAAGACATTTTTATAAACTCTTGTTTTGTCTTAATGAATCTGAGGTGCACAAAGATATTTTTATATACGAATGAAGTGGACATATTCTGATGTTACATCATTATACAAAGATGTTTTAACAGTACAGTTTGTATATTATATAGTAGATGATACTGTTCACAAAATTTACATTTAAGATTTAATAACACAATGTCAATGGGAAACGAAAGTCCACTTATGAAACTCTTCAGATTAGCCAATTATTTTACATAAAATGAAATATAGGAGAATTGTATGTTCGGTATATAGTCTATATATATGGAAACTAAGCCTAGTGTTACAAGCTTGGTATGTAATTTCTCAAGTCAACGTTAGTTTTATTTATAGATCAAATTGACCAGGTATATACTGTAAATAAATACCATGTTGAGGAAAATAAGCAGAAACCTTCTTAAAAAGCATGGATAATGTATAAAAACAACTAGGCTTCGACAACTTCTAAGAAAAACCCATAAAATGTGACGCAGTTATCTTAATTAAACTGAGTCAGTACCAGTAGAAAATGGAAAAACAATGTATGTTTATTTTATTTTTTTGAATATTTGCGTTCGACGTTTTCCGGTGAGATTGTATATACGATTGATGATAGAGATTATATAATGGAATAATCTAGTTTGAGAAAGACTAGTTTAAAAGAAAAAAAAATGAAATATCATTAAATATGAATTTGGCTTATGTGTTAAGATAAAGATTTAGAAGGTGACAAAAACAAAAACAAAAATAGTTGGTAGAAAAGTGACTGAGCCACCGGCCCACAACTGCAAAGTGAAAGCTTCTTGATTCAAAGATAACAAACGAAATCCGTCCACAACAAGGGAGTTGTATTGTTTTTACTAGAACTTTCACCCACGCGGATCTGTATCTTAAATCAGTTTAATATATATTACTAAAAAGTAATTAATATATATATATATACATATATATATATATAGTAAAATGTAATCTTAATTTATGAACTATTGTGACGTGTTAATCATTTTCTAAACAAAAATATATTTTTAAATATGTATAGTCAAATTCTTAAAATTAGATGTCAATAGTATTTATATGTAACATGATGTTTATTTAAAATAACTTCAATTCGTTATGTATAACTGAAAATGCTATAAACAATCTATAATTTATATTTCAGTACATTTAACTTACACATCATGTTATCAGTTTATAAATGTTGATCATAATATTATATATTTAATTTTTATATAATATAAATTTTGTATATTCTTTTTTATGGCTTAAAGAAAATCTTAAATCATTTTTGTTCAATGTTGATTTGTTTTTTAGTAATTTTGTCACGTTTAAATTTTAAATTCATTTTGGTTTCATGACTTTCATTTTTTTCTTAGCAAAATTTTAAATTTTAGAAAAATTCTTAATGTTATATATGTTTATGTGTACTAATATTATTTTTTTGTTAAAATATGTGTACTAATATTATTATCTAGTAAAAGGAAATTGATACAAAATAATTTTAACTTCACGTTATTTCTGTGTTTTTAACTTCTGTATACTTTCTTTATGTCTTGATTTGAATAGCCATGTCTAGATATGGAAATTTGAGTTTTATTCATAACCATGTCATACTTTCTGCTTAACTGAAAATTTAGAAGGTGTTAACTGATATCCTGAACTATATATTTAGACAAAAAAAAAACAAACAAAACTTGGTGTTATTTGATGTTTGTAGTTGAACTGCACATCTCTTGATCTTATTTAAATATTCAAAAACTATACATCGAAGATTGCTTCTTTTTCTTCTCAAGATTATACTCATAATTTTAATTCTTTTGCTTTTACTTATGTCTTCAAAATTAGTCATCGGTTCCACAAAATTGTAATATCTTCTTATTATAGTCTTCTTCTCAAAACTTTTAATTCCTTGTTCACCTCCTCATCACAGTTCTTTAAATCTTGAACTTTAAATTTTTTCTTATTCATCGCTTGAACAACCGAACACTTGTAACGATGTATTGGTAGAAGACGGTAAACATAAGTTGGTAGAAGACGGTAAACATTAAAACTCTAGTATGTGAAGACCAATTTTCGATGTATTGCGTTCATCAAACTTAAAAGAAGAAGAGCAGAAAAAGATTTTCCTCATTAAATCTAATTATAATTTTCTTTGATTTAAAATAATCTTCTGTTTCAAGGGCTTCTCTATATCCACTGATTACTTAAACGTTCCTCTGATTCTCAACTTCAACAATATGTTCTTGGGTTCCTTGTGAAACATGTTTCAGTAAGTACATTAAGAGTCGCCAGATTGGCCATGTTCTTTTGTGTCATGTTCTCACTGTTCTGTTTTTTTTCTTGCTTCAGAATCAATATTATTTAATCTACTCCTTGGTAATTTCGATTCCTTCTTTTCTTCAGTCCTTTTAAGCTTACTAGAAAGGTGACCCGCGCTACGCTGCGGGATTATTTAGATAATTTTTTTTTATATTTTATCTTTCAATTTGATTTTAAGAATTATTTATAGAAACTACACTTTTAAAAATTTATACTAATATTTTTTATGTTTATTAAAAGTTTGTTGTTAAATTCAAATGAAATAATTTGTAATATAAAAGAATTGTATTATTATTTTATTTTATTTTAAATTTTGTTTAACACTATCTTATCGGAATTTGCTTTGATAGTTTAAATCCTAAAAGAATTCTAAACCCTAAAATATCATGTGCAGGTTTTTCTTAAAATTCTTTTATAAAATATATACAACTCGTGTAAAACTATGCATTTTTACATTTGTTTTGGTTAAAATTACTACTTTACTCACAAATAATTCAAGAATATGACCCAAAAGTGGGAAGAACTAAACATAATTGGTTGAACCAAACTTTAGATTCAACGTTTTGAGATGGAAAGACAGCATAGTTAAATTCAAAACCATCTTCACAATTTTGTAACTAAGCAATGCTAAAATTGTGAACACATTCTATGATAGTATTTTAAATACAGAGAGATCAATATGGCGAAAGCCAATGAACCCAAACCAAACTGACCACAAAAGCAATAAATGAACCAAACCATCTCCCATGAAAATAATAAGCAAAGTCGGTAAGGATAAATGCATGGGAATGAGGAATATGAAGGACTAAAACCAACCGGAAATAAATCGCTTATTATCTACACATAATAGAGCATAAGTTGAATCGAAGGCATATCCTTCCATCTTTAGTCATAGGCTCCATCATGCCATTAGCCCATTACAAGAATGTATTATGTTTAAGTAATATCACTCCATCACAGCCTCCATCATTAAGAACCTACAAAACCAGAAAGATAAAGAGATTTGGTTATAAAAGCCCTGAAAAATAGTATTATCAAACTATAACAAAATTTCTGTTGTTTAGGCAAACCTCAGGAGCAACATAGTTTGGAGTTCCACAAGATGTATGAAGGAGTCCATCAGCCTGATTCCCCAAAAGCAATATAAACCATAGTTTAAGTATACAAAACTTTTGACAACACACAATTCCTTAGAACTATGAAAATCAATACTATGGAGACAGATTTTGTTTACCCTGACTTGTTGGAACAAAACACTTAATCCAAAATCTGAGATCTTGAGGTTACCATATGCATCCAGTTGTAAATTTTCAGGCTGCAAGATCACATACACACACAGATATATAGATACAAAGTTAGAGAGAGAGAGAGAGAAGATGACCGGAAAAACTCTAGGATGAGGGACCTCTTCATTGGTTGGTGTTTGTGACTATGCCAAGCTCTGCTGAGACAGTCGTACGTTCTTGGACTTGGCCTCGGCATCTTTTATTTTATTTCTTCCACAACTTTGTAGATACAGAGAAGTGAACATGAATCTATTTGGAACGATATATTAGATAATCAAAGTGAGAGTATTGAGATTACCTCCAAGCACTCAATCCCAAACCTTTTCCTCAAACTCGATGACCACATAAAAAATTTGGTCATTCAAAACACAAAATCAAAGTTGTAGTGCATAAAGATATGGGGGTATTAATTCAAATAGAAAAATGGCAGCTTTCACTGTTCCGATTCTACTTCCCCGCTTAAATTCCCTTCGCCCATTGGTCTGTTCTTCCAGGGTTTCTGCTAAAACAGAGAATAATTCAGCACATAGTTCAAATTCAAAGATATACCCAGAAAGGAAAACGTAAAGTTGGCAAACAAAATTCAATCCTTTTTAAAGAAAATGAAAGTTACAGAAACAGAGTGATGATGATCGAATACTCCGATTGAAGAAAACAAAAAACTAAATCCGTTGCCACCAAATCTATGATCCTTAAATCTATTGTTTCTCTAACCAGAAGATCCCAGAAGAAATCAAAATCAATTTTTACTCTGTAATCAAATTGTTGAATCGGAGGAGAGCAGGAAGAACACACTCTCGAAATCTCCGGCGCCGACACATGTCTCCAGCTCAAAATCTCCAGCGCTGATCCAATTTAAAGAGTGACACATCAGGAAATGATTGAGATGAATCAATAGAGTAAAAGAATCCATAGAAGAAGACTTTTGCAAACGATAGAAGAACAATGAAATTTCGTGGATGAAGAATAATGAATCTTAACCGGAGAGGAAAGTGAGTAGCTAACTAATTGGAGTTAAACCGGATTTAACCTGGGTCAAACCAAGACAAAAATGTAGCAAGTAAACCAAAAGCAATGCTGACTAGTATTAAATGAAATGTTTCCATTGGCTTTGTGATTTTAATGAGGTGTCAACTTTAGAACACTTAAAAATGTTTAGGTGAGAGGCATATGAACTTTTGCTATGTTGATTTGGTAATGTAACTTATATATTAATTAATTGGATATTTGTTCATTATCAAAATACAAAGAAAATCAAAGAAAAAACAAAAGACCAAATAATATTATGAATAAAGCAAACGAATAAATTTCTTTCATATAGCTAAAAACATGTATATCGTCATTGTGATGCCCATCGTCTTCGATTCAAACATTCCTTTTGCTTCATGATATAC